AACATATTTATATAATATAAATAATATATTCATATTATACATTATATACAGTTTATATATAGTACATGTATATACTATAATATTAATACATGTATATCAATGTACATACGTGTAAATGCTTCCAGAGTTTGCCAGGTTATCCAGCAAGAATGTAGATTTGTCAGGCCAAACAAACTTCTCAGGGATTCACCAGCAGGATATTTCTTTAAACACAAAGTTGAATGTGAAGAAACGTGAAAGAGAAAAGATACTGGGAGTTCCTTCTCGTCCCCCGTGCGTCCCATCCATGCGGACCCATAACAGTCTCACATGGATGTAAGCCAAGCTGAGCCGAAGGATGGGTTCAAACCATGTCCACCTTACCCTGGGGGGTATGTGCTTATTTTACGACTTGAGCTGCTTCACTCATTTATTCTCCATTTCACAAGGAGATGGCGGTGAGAAAGGAGATCCAGGAGAGGAAGGAAAGCTCGGCAAAGTGGGACGCATGGGGCCGAAAGGTAGGTAAGATGATACGGACTTGACGGTGTAACGTTAGCATTGCTCTTCTCTCCCTGTTGGACTTGCCCGAGAAATTAGCGGCTTTCGTGACACTCTCTGCTCTAAAGATGCATGAAACGCAGTTCAGATATGAATGTACTCACCACCGGAGAGTTTTTATGAGATCATCTATCAACAAGACTCAAGACACATGTCTCAAGTTTCATCCTTAGGGGTAGCTGGAACCGGCCACTCTGGGAGCCCCAAGGAATAGCAGTCTCTGAGAATATCTAAGACGCTGAATTTCAGAAATGCAGGGGTGTCTCCCCTCAGAGGCCCCACTGCTAGGCCACTCTTAAGGAGGACCAGAAAGAGTTTGTTTGGTGCTTTGACATAACTCAGCTTTCTTCAAGGTCTGATGGGGTATGGGAAGAGTAGAGGCTAAGAAGATGAGAATAACACAGAGGCTATTAAGGAATAGTTTTACTCACATAACCAAAAGTAAGTCTCACCAAAGCATAGCTTCTGGATTGAGATGTGTACGCATGTCTCTTCCAAGGATGAGAAGTAGTCCCTGCCAACTGTTCCAAGATGGTGGCCTTGGAGCATGGAATTTTAAATCTTCAGTAATCGAAAAAGAGAAAAACACTCATAAACCTTTGAGACCTCAATGTGAGAAATGCGATTTAAAATCTGTTTATACTATAAATATGTACATACGATGGTCAACAAATATGTAAAATCAATTGCAAAGTTATTATCACAAAACTAGAGCTTTATAACTGGCAAATATTTTTTTTTAGCCCTTCATGGAAAAAGAAGCAATTAATAACAATTTTGGAGGAACTTAGTGATTTCTGACGATATTTTTTTGGATGAAAACAGTGGGACAATCTTTGATGTTCCTTTGATTTATGGTTTTATGACTGCCCATTCCCTCCCCCTTTTTAAAGTGGCTAAAATAGTCAAATCTGGTTTTAAAATAGAGAAGAAACAGAATCCTGATACGAAGCTGAAATAGACCTAAAGAACAGAATTAGAATAAAATGCAAGAATTCTTCCATTCAGCCCCTTTGCTGGCCTTTATAGATTAAACCCAGTCCTTGTAGATAGTTTGCATCAGTAAGCATTTTAATATCATCAGGTCCAGGATTGTCATACTCACGTTTTAATTTTCATATACCCAGTAAAATGCTATTAAAATAGGTAAGATAGCACAGGATATAGATTATATGCTACAGATGGAAGAATGCACTTTTTGGTATTTTCTTCAAGTGAATATCATTTATTAGCCACATCTTTCAAGGGAAGATAAAATGTTAGGCTGTAAAGATGACATGCTTTCCTTTTCAGGAATTAAGGGAGAACTGGGTGATATAGGAGACCAAGGCAGCATTGGCAAAACCGGGCCCTTTGGCAAGAAGGGTAAGCCTCATTTTCCTATTCTCCAGCAGCAATTTAAAGCACATCAAGCATACCCTTGATAGATTTGAAAGGTTCTGTGTCCTAACAATGATCCCTTTTCTTTCTTTTAAAATAGGAGTGTTCTCTTTCTTTACATCTTGACTATTTCTTTCATACATAAGCAACGTGTCAGAAAAGTTAAAAGGCCTTGAGCAAAATGAAACAGAAATTCAGGGACAGACTCAAATCTCAAGGTCTAGTAGTCTATTGAACTCTGTCCTGGAATCTACTAGCTGTCTTGATCCAATTAAAACGGACGTCTTCCTCATCAAGTGAGTTCAGTCTTAGAAAACAATTTTTCGTAAAACTCAAGGTAGCCCAAGGACAATATAATGTTCTTTCTTAATTTGAATGGCATCATAGTTACCTGTTTGGGATCTATTAACAGGACAAATATACATATGCACATCCTTTTGTTTTCCATCATACCCTGTACATAATTACTGCTTCGTTATTATAAAATAGAGGTAGGCGCCTTTTTATTACCTAAGCATTCTTTCCCTATCTTATAAAGCTCCACAATGAGAGTAGGCTCTAATTGCTTCTGATATTTACTAGTTTACACAGGCATTGTTCCACTGGGTTTGAAGATACCAAAGCTGCATGAGACTCAAACTTTTATGCAAGCAACTCACAGACTATTTAGGAAGGTAGGACTTTCTCGGAAAGAATCAGGACACTGAATAACTGTATCACTGCTGTAGCAACCCTGTGGGTGAGTAGACAAGATGGATATGAAGAGCTGACCTAGGTCTCGAAGGATAGTAGCATGGTGATGGAAATGGGGAACAGGCATTTGAGGGAGATGCAAGAGATACTTGGGCAAAGGTACAGAATGGGGGAAACTCAGCGCCATGGGGAGCAGGATTCTGCAGCTTTGTGGTACCCTCCGACCTTCCAGAGGCGCTTGAGCTGCTGGCCTCACAGTGACCAGCAGTGTGATCCTGGAGGCAGGCTGACAGGTGCCGTCTGAGCAGAGGCTGTGGCCTTTCTTCTCACATCCTGTAGCTCAGTACTTCTCTCCCTACTCTTTTCCAACTCATTCCTTTGAGACTGTTCCTTTGGCCTGCATAGGAGGGCAGGGATAGAGGGCAGTGTCGCTGAAAAGAAATTGCCCTGGTTATCTTTGATCCAGTAGCTTATGGCCTTTTCACCTATGATTGAAACCCTCATAGCTAAGGAAGCTCCACGGGCTCCTTGGAGTGCATGGGTCCTGCTGCAGAGTGTGTCGGTGGTGGCTTTACCATGAAGCTAACGAAGCTTTGGCTTCAGAACCCCACACTTGTAGGGGTCCTCCCCAAGACCCTAAGAGGAAGGAGCTTCAGCAATAGGTATGTGTGTCTTGGTAAAATTTGGAAAGTAAGGCATTTTAACTTCAACTGGTTAAAGCAGCACATCTCCACATTTTTTAAAAGCTACTGCTCCCCAAGAAGTCTCTTTAGACATATTGACCCCCTCACAAGTTTTTTAGACATTTTTCCTAATTGCGCCCCCCCCATGAAATTTTAATACTACCTATGAGCTATGCATATTTGTTATGTATTGTATATACATTTATGGTTTATATATTAAAAAGAGTAAGATTTTTTCCCTTCTCAAGAACTGATTTTTGCAGCGTTGAGGTGATACTTGCCTCACAGAGAATGCACAGGTGAAGACTATTGTCTCCTTCTGTTTCACCTTCTCTCCATCTTACTTCTTGTGTCAGGTGATTTTTGGAGTGGACGCCAGTATTTGGGGAGATAAAGAAGAAGAGCTTGGGTGGGGAAGTCTTTCATTTGGACTTAATGGGATATGTTTATGTAGTGTGCAGTTCCCTCCATGTACATTTAACCATTCCAATGTGGGAGTAGCTTCAAAAAATACTCCTACCACTTATTGTCCAGATCTATCCAAAGTTATAATGAAAAAGTGCAGGGGCAGAGGCCAGATCTTCATAAGAGTGGGTCCTGGGCCATCCAGCCCAAGAAATGTGTGGGTTGTGCAAAAGAAGCAAGGTTTGAAATGTATAGGGCCAAAGCTGGTCTGTAGAACAATTTTCCAAATCTAACTTCTCATATATGAAAAGACTTTGCAGAAGTATTCTTAAATTTAACAATATCTTTAATTTACCTACAGCATCAATAACAAGTTGTAAAAGTAAAAGAAATGGCTTCCAATATTAACAATAAAACAAAATTCAGATTTCTGCTACAGGCCATGAGAAATTCTCCTGCATTAACCCTGCTAAAAATGAATAGCTGAGTCAAAAATTATATTGCAGTCATGAGAGGGATGCCAAATTGATTAGGACTTTAGAGTCCATAACCTGGAGAAGGAATCATGCTAAGGCAAATTATACATTCTGTGCTTATTACGTTTCCTCTCAAGTCATTCACCAATTCATACGCGGTCTGACAATTAAGTTCGTGAACTTGTTGCAATAATACTGTTAAACATTTTTTATATCAGAGGGATTCTTCATTATGAATTTGTATCATCTGCACAGTTAACCAAGTTTACTATTTGGAAGTGCTGAAAAGGCTGCATGAAAAAGTTAGATGACCTGAACTTTTCACCAGCAATTCATGGCTCTTGCATCACGACAATGCACCAGCTCACTTGGCACTGTCTGTGAGGGAATTTTTAGCCAGGAAACAAATAACTGTATTGGGAACACCCTCCCTACTCACCTGAACTGGCCCCCAATGACTTCTTTCTTTATCTGAAGAAAAAGAAAATATCAGAAGGAAGACATTTTGATGGCATTCAGGACATCAAGGGTAATATGACGATAGCTCTGAAGGCCAGTCCAGAAAAAGAGTTACAAAATTGCTTTGAAGGGTGGCGTAGGCACTGGCATCAGTGCATAGCTTCCCAAGAGGAGTACTTCGAAGGTGACCGTAGTGATATTCAGCAATGAGGTATGCAACACTTTTTCTAACATGAGTTCGCGGACTTAATTGTCTGACGTCATACAATCTGTACTTCTTTTCCTCAAGTCATTCACCAATTCATAAGTGAGGAAGCACGAAAAGACTAAAAAGCTGAAGCAGAAGGTTGGTCATACTGAATAATCAAGATCTGCCGAATAAGACTGGCCTTGGAAAATGCCACTCTTTTCTTATTTCAAAAATGAAATTTTCAGTTAGAACTTAAGAAATTCTGAAAAACATTTAATTGTTTTTGTAAATATACTCATTTATGTTTTTAAAAAATTCAAGCAAACTAGAAATAGAGGGAAACACATTTAATATGAAAGAGCATGTGAACAACAAAAAAACTATTTGAAAATCATAATAATGAAATATTGAACATTTCTCTCCTGAGATTGGGAATGAGATGAGTGCTTCCCTCATCATCAATTCTAATCTATAAGTTCTAGCTAGAGTAAAAAAGCAAGAACAAGAGATGAGACTCATAACAATTGGAAATGAGGAAATAAGAGTCATTATTTGTAGATGACATGGTTACATGCCCAGAAAATACAAAAGAATCTACAGATTAACTGTTTGTAGTGCTAAATTTTTTAGACAGCTTAATTTACAAAAATAAATTTTGTTTCTACATACCAGAAACAATTTTTAAATGAAATTAAAAATATGCCATTTATAATAGTGCCAAATTTATCAACTATCTAGGAATATATCTTTTTTAAAAAATGATGTGTAAGCCCTCTACAAAAAATACTACATAATGATGAGAGAAATTAAGGAATATTTAAAGAAATAGAGGTAAAACTATATTCATGATTGAAAGACTCAATATTGTTAAGATGTCAATTCTCCCTAAATGGAATTATAGATTCAATGCTATCTCAGTCAAAATCCCAGAAGCAGTTCCCTTGAAATTTAATAAGCCAATTCAAAATTTACATGGAAGTGAAAAGGACGGATAATAGCTAAAGACAATCTTGAAAAAGAAAAACAAAGCTAGAAGACTTAAACCACTGAATTTAAACATTTATTATAAAATTGCAACTATGAAGATAGTGTTGATTTAGTAAGAGATAAATAGATCAATGAAAATGATTAGAGCATGCAGACACAGACTCCCAAACTTGATTTATGCAAAGTTGATATTACTTTGCAATGGAAAATGATGAGCCTATCTATAAATAGTGCTAAGTCAAGTGGATATTCATGAATGCAGTCAAACATATGCAGCCGATAATTAAAATGTTATGCTGTTTAGTGAGTTTTGTAATGTGGTATTTGCCTACTTTGAAAATTTAGTGATTTGCTTGTATTTCTTTTCTTCTAAGTATTCATTTTTCATAAACACTTTTCCATTTGTAATTTGGTATTATTTTTCTTAAGGAGGGATCCTCGAATTGTATATGCTTCAGGTAAAATTCCTCATGGATATGCTCCCGACTGCATCAGCTTCATTGAATAATTGGTTAAAGAGATGGTCAAGTGTAGCCAAAAAGTGGGATGTTGGTCTTGAAGATTTCTGAGATGCAGCCATGTTAGATGAAGTTAGGATTCCAAGTATTGCCCTGAAATAGGCAGAAGTGGAGGGGGGGGGAGAGGATAAGTCACTGCCGTGAACACATCCAAAACTCAAAAACTTCATTTTTCAATGAGTTATCCTAGATGTTGCATTTCTGATGTGTCAGATCTAAAAGAGCCTCCAACTAGGAGAGTTGGAAGTAATGATCTTGAGCCAAGTCTTAATCCTTCCATAGAATAAGAGTAGGTAATTTAGGAGGGTGGTTAGATGACAGAGACAGAAAAGGTCAAGAGTTTTAGTATGATTGTCTCAGCCTCAAAGTGGATGAACTTCCACAAATGTTGGAAAAGTAAGTGCAGGAATGATAAAGTAAACTAACCTTATCTTCTTCAGGACAATTCCTCATTCACACTCAGGTACATATACACCTACTGCCTACCTCTATTACTTTACTCATTGTCATGACTTATTAGCTTGTCTGTTTCACCCTACAGACTGAACTTCTAAAGGGAACAAATCAATAAAAGATTTTGGGTCTATTTGCTTAAATAAATATAAGCTGTATGTGGGTACCCTATTTTTTCTAATCATTTTATCCTAATTCCCATTATATAACATTTCTAAATGTTTATTGCATTAAAGATGAAAAAATAAATCATATATATATATATATATATATATTATTATTTCCTATGATGCAGCCCTCTTTTCTACTCTTTATTTCTTTAAGTTCCACTTTCCTTTATCATCAGTTTCCACCATTGACTAAGATTTCTTTCTCCTCCAGAGATATGCCATCAAAATTTATAAGCATGTCCTGGAATTTCAAAAAAATGGAGGTTCAGTGATCTGGCTCACAGATTAATTTCGTTTTTAATCTGTACTTTGAAATTTATTGCTCTCATTTTGTCAGTGGCCCTTCTAAATTTTTCAGTGACTCAGATTAATCTCAACTTTCTGGACTGACCTTAATGCTATCACTTGCACGGACAAGGTAGATTTCTGGATGTCAATATTTCATTTTACAAGTAAGAAAGGATAATTTAGTCTAGGTAAATTCCATCTCATAGCAAAATAAATGTCTTTACTTAAGTCATTAATCCTTTTACAGTGAAAGCATTATGGGTTTTTTTTTGTTGTTTATTTGTTTGTTTACGTCTCCAACCTTAAGACAGTTATTAAAAACATGTTCCTACTCGTGGGCCAAAATAAGCTTTTGTGTATGGCTTTAAACCAGAATTTGTTTGGAGGAAATAGACATTATAAGCTTCCATTCACCATTAACTGACTAAGTACTCAGTATGTTTTCCTTTATCATAACTTGATTTAGGAGGCAGAAGCTGACATTGGTGGTGTATCCTCTATGAGTCAAGTATACAGATAATCCCGTGACAGCATGACATTATCTACTCTATTCTCCTAATGATTTTAGGATGTTAGGTACCATTATTTTCACTTTAAAAATGAAGACATGGAGGCTTAAAGAAATTAAGTAACCTGTCCATGTTTAGCTACTAAATAACAGAGCCAGGATTCAGGGTTTTTACTCTACCACACTGCTTGACTTTTTTCCATCTGTAAAACAAGGAAAGGAATTCATGTCAGAATATGAGAAAGTGGTAACAGGGCTTACATCTTCTCACCTTAAAAAGAAAGCCAATTGTCAATTCAAGAATTTGTTTCCCACACTATTAAGATCCAGCTAAAAGCTGTATTGCTTCAGTGAAGTCTCTACTCAGATTCATAGCCATGGTTACCTTCTCCAAGTACGTACCAGGCATTTTCTTTATTTTACTCTGTTAATACATGATAGTGTCCCATCTCCTTGACCCTTTATATGTGCTTTGTTTTCCTTTAAAAAAAAACCATCCTTTTTCAAAAGCAAATATTCTATTTATGCTTCTTTTATATCCACCATTGGGCTTAGCCCAGAACTAGGGTCACAGCAGAACGAGTATCACTTTTCAGCCCAGCTCATGTTAAATTGAAATGGATTTACATATAAAGAAATACACTCTTTTAAAATAATTAAAATATTAAACCACATTCATGTGATCTTTTAAGTCCATTTTGGTTTTGGTGGTGATAAAGACTGGTGTTCCTTTCAACTTCAATAACATTTTTCCATAACATCTTTTTCTTCATCAAATCATTGTTTAACTCATTTCGGGAGCACCACGAATGGCAAGTCAGAATGACTGGGTTTCAGTATCAGGAGTGTCACTGAATTGCTGGATGTCCTTGAGTACCTTATTTTGCCCCTGGGATCCTCAACTTCTTTGGTGGTAGAATAAAGATAATGACAGTACCTAGCCCATTAGATTTAATATGATGATATCTATAAGGTATCCATAACAGTACTTGGCAAATGATTGGCACTTAGCAAATCTATGTTCCCTTTCTTCCCCTAATGTAGTCTCAAAATCTATTCTTATCTTTTTTCAATTTACATATAAGGGATGAAGAATTCACAGGACACGACTTAGGTGTGAGTGGATCAATCTTCCTTGGCAGGGTGGTCAGCGTATTTCCATGCTTTTTTTCCCAACTGTACCTCTGCTGTACTCATCTCCTACCTTGCTGCCATCGTCACCTGCTCAAGTTTTCATAACCAAGCTCCAACGTTCTCTCCTCAAGACAGCCTTCCTTCACCCTTCCCGCTACAGCACTCTCTCTTCTAGCTCCCTCCCAGAGTATGTTATCACCGTTCAAGGTTTTTGTTTTTTTTACAATATTTATAGCATTCTATCGTCATAGTTTTCACCATTGTCTCATGTCATCCAAGTATAAGACCTGAGGTGTCCCCCGGCATACTTAAACTGCATTCAGGGTTTGAAGGACCCCTTCCTTCTGTTTGGGGAGCTCATGGATGTCTGACATCACATGGGTCAATTTGGAAAGGCTCAGCAAATCCTTGGCACCCTGGCAGGCACGGCTTTCTGGGTGATCGATAGTCAATATGTACGGGACTCTTAAGAAAAAGACCACAGCAAAACTGTCCAGTGCCACAGTTACTAGTGACATGTGATTTTTGAGCCCTTGAACTATGGCTAGTCCAAACTGAGATATGCTGTAGGTGTAAAATATATATCAAATTCTGAAGACCTAATACCAAAAAAGGAATGTAAAATATCCTATTAATATTTTTTATATTGATTAGATGTCGAAATGACAATATTTTGGATATATTGGGTTAAATAAAATATATTTTTAAAACTGTTTTCAAAAGCACTCAAGCAGACAGCGGTGAAGAAACTAGCTAATGAGCAGGCAGTACAGGACACCCTACGGGTTTTGGAGAGGCTCCCAGCCTTTTCCCTGTTGGTGGTAAAGGACAGGGTTAGGCAGAACCCCAATGCTGACTCTGTTTCCCCTCGCATTGCCCCCCTCAGGTCATATACCCAATTCCTGGGCACTCTAAACTCCTACTAGGGTAGGCCACATATGCTTTTCTAGTCCAGGTAACCTTCAGCCTGTATTTATCCCTCCTGAGTTCTTTCTTCTGTTTTCAGATCACCATTGAAACATAAATTAGTCTCCTTTTCTTTTGATTCTCAAGAACTTCAGCCAAACATTTCCTCTTACAAATCCAAAGCTTTGCTTTCAATTATTGTGTTTGATATGGACTTCAAGAGCTTATTTTGAAGTTAAGAAAAAATCAACATTTCTTTTTCTCTCTCCTTTAATAATTCTGATTCTCTGAGAATTATTTTGTGGATGCCCCTGACTGAATGAGAAAATGGTCACATACAAAGAAGAGCAGATGGGAAAATTATCAAGGTTGATATTTCAGTATAATATATTTGACATAACTTTATATTAGAGATTTTTGCAAACATCACATCTCTTCTAAAAATGAGTCAGTGCTTTCAAGTCGGAAGTTTTATCTTGTCTTCTTTATAACCTCTCAAAGCACCAAGCCTTTTGTCTTGCATAGAAGAAGTAAATAGTAAATATTTGTTGAATTACGTTGAAAAAGCACAATACATGTTTTTGAAAATCAAAGGGCAAAGCCACATGAAAATATTTGAGTGCACATTAAATACACAGGTACTGCAATGTTAATCAGTTGATTCATACTAGTATATACAAAATAATGGTGATTTTACAATTAAACAAATGTGCAGACAATTGTACTAGCCTTGCTCAGAAGACTACATTATAAGCATGTTATTAAGGTAGGTGACACAAATTAAAATGTTTCTTATACTTCCTACTGCACTTCTACATTCATTCTAAATTATTTATGACTTGTTTGATTAATTGTGCTGCCAACTCAAAATCAAATTATTTATGTAAAACCAAGGCGCATTAGTTGGAGGAGATACTGCAAATGAAATTGAAAAACTGTTCCCTCTGATTTTAGGTGCCTAAGATATTGTCTGTCTGAAATGATTCACCATTTTATGTAATTGTTCTTTGGGGGGCTGTTTTTATTCAGGTGACAAAGGGGAGAAGGGTTTGCCAGGGATTCCTGGAGGAAAAGGCAAAGCAGGTATGATTGCTAATTTTGCTCCTTCATTTCTGGCATGATTCCAAAGGTATTCACCTCAAAAATAGATCTGTTGGTTTTGGGGGTTTTTTTTAATGAAAACCCAAGGCCCTTTTTAGGGGGCCTAACATTAATTTTCCTAAGGTAGAAGGCCAGAGAGAAGGGACAGTTCCTTCTTATTTGCTGGTGACTTTCCAAGCCCTGGGGGAGGGGGTGATGGCACATTCCCTCCCTGTCATGCTTACTGTGAGGAAGCAAGCCAGCACATCAGGAAGCAGCCCTCGCTCTCTTAGGCCAGGAGGAAAATCCACAGTGGCCCCAGCAACAGGGCCGTGGCAGCATGCTTTACATTCCACCAGCATCTCAACCTAATACCAGCCAGTCCTTCTCCAGAGGCAAACTGGCCGGTTCCAGACAGTCCCCATGGTTACAGAGCACCCCTTCAGTGGCCAGGGAGTCTCTCTGAGTTTTGAAAGAGAATTTTTTTTCCAGTGGCTGTATGCAGAGAAAGAAAATTGTTGTGGAGGGCTTCACTCATTTCTATCTACAGGGGTATTGTAAAGACTAACTCTAAGAACTGTTTTAAATTCCTTATATTTAACTGAGAATATAGAGACATAAAGTCACATGTGTTTTTCCCCCTTTGGCTAGTAAGCTTCTTTTTACTTTTCCACTACCTAAGAAAAAAAAGCAAACAGAAAGTATTTACACAAAGCATCCTTTCAATAGAAAACAACAGAATCATTTGAATTTCATATCATTTTCCTTAACAATTCCTTCTCTGTCACAGTATCAGTCGGTAGAGGAAAAGGTAAATGAGCAAAAACAGAATGAATGGCAGAAATTAAAATCATGGTTAATCCACACATGGAATAACTGGCTCTTGAAGTTGTAAGTTGGATCTATTAACAAGATTTAAACTTAGTCCTTAAACATTCAAGTATACTCCAAACGAATCATCAGAATTCACATTTGATTTCACTATGAAAGGTTTGTCCTGTCCTGGGAAAGTTGTGTGAGCCACTGAGCAGTGCAGTAACAGAAGAGAAGACTGGGTAGACACGTGTTTTAAGGAAGGTTTAAACATTTTATTCTGAGGTCGGGGAGTCACATCCTGCGCATCAACAAAAATGCCAAATGACCCACAATACATGTACAGTGGTTTGTCATATTTGCTCTTCTTTTTTTAAAAAAAATGGTTTAGCACTGTTTTAAGTCATTCAAAATATTTTAAAAGATGTTTTCTGAATTCCTAAAGATAATGTAAATTGGAAGCTTTGTTTTAAATAAAAGACGACAAATTGAGCCACACACAGAGAGACACAGCCAGACTAGGAAAATATAGAAAGTATTGGGAAGAGAGTAGAGGGCTCCTTTCTGCATGTGTTTTCCACCTGAACTCACAGTTTTTGTCATTGAAAAGGTACTGTCTGTGACTGTGGGAGATACCGAAAAGTTGTTGGGCAATTGGATATTAGTGTCGCTCGCCTCAAGACATCTATGAAGTTCGTCAAGAATGGTGAATATATTCTCTTTTGCCTTGTGTTATTTATGTATCGATTTAGTGCCCATCGACATTCCAATTCCAATATTCCTAGCAGGAAGTACCTCATGTAGGGTACTTGGGACAGTGTCACCAGTTGAAAGGTCTCTCAAAATGCTAATTATCCACTCTGACTCCAGGACACTTCAGGCCCACTGCATGTATTCATACATATCGCATGACCTATGTGTAGAAAACATTACAGTCTGGAGAGAGGGGAGTGAATGGTGAAAAGGGCAGAGTTTGGCACCCCCTGCTTTAGGAATAAAAAGGGACAGAAAGAGTCAGACAGGGTGAACATCTCAAAAAATAGAAGTAATAAATAAAAACAAGAGCTACTTTCTTGAGTACTTGGAGTAATAATAATAATTATGAGGTAGGTGCTATGATTAAACCGAAGCTTAGAGAGATTGCCTTACACATAGATACAGAGCTAGTGAATGGTGTGGAGTGGGGATTTGAGTACAAGTGTCACTGATTCCTCTACCCTCAGTATAAATCATTAGGGACATTATGTGTTTCTCTAAATTTTTCAGCTTTTCATTTTTGTTTTCCCTTGTCTATCTCCCCATTAGAGTTAGCAATAAAGCTCTTGAAGTGGGGCTTCCATGTTCTCTTCTGAGACAGAATGAATGAGGGAACGGTTATAGTTACTGTTACAATTGGTTCCATTTTGTTGTGCTTTCACTTATCACAATGCAGCTGTGTATTTGTTGTACGTTATTGGAAGCTCACAGCTGCCATCTTGTGTTCATCCTCGTCTTGTAATACTAGAGGCACAGGAAATGCTTGATATTAACCAAGTGCCCTAGTTACAGTCCTGGTTATAACCTACACACAAGATGCTGTCTTGGGCATGACTTGGACTCTCAAGAATTAAACCAGACCCCAGAGCTTCAACACAGAGCAATAGTTCTTAATATTCAAACGTTCACATATTTCCTGGCGAATTTTCATTTATGAACCCTAAAAAGTGTATGTAGACACCCCTGAAGCCTACAACATGTGCACCATATTATGAGCTCAGGGTCATTCTGAGTCCCCAGTGCTGTCTTGAAGTTTACTTGGTAGCACATTCTACTTCATGTTCCTGGAGTGATATATAGACAATCTCAATCGATGCACATGCTCACAGCCCAGCCACCCAGTGGGAAAACTTCTGAATTATTCCCATATCAGTTTAATACACTTTTATCATCCCTTGCAATTTTAAACCCATCAAGGATACAGAGTGACAAAGACATGGTCACTGTCTTCAAGAAGCTTACCACTTAGTAGAAGAGGTACACAAACAATTAGACTGGAATGTGTTGAGTGCTATGAAGTGGAAGGGTCATGGAAACATAGGGGATGAGAGTCTCCGATGTCTGTTCAGCATTGGAAAGGCTCCTATAGGAGAAAACTCTTCCACTGGGTTCTAAAGGATGAATAGGAGTTTGCCAGATAGAGAAGCAGTGAGAAGCAGTTCTGGGCACAAAAGGCATGGAAGTGGAAAAGAGAAGGTCATGTTTGTGGGACTGTAAGTATGATGAAAGCATAAAGTAGGATGGGAAAAATAGTCTGAGATGAGCTGGGTGGCAGTTCATATAACAAGTCTTTGTCAAAATAGCTCTCTGCTTCAAAGTTGTGTGGGCAGTTGAAAAGGAATGGCAGGGAGGACAAATAGTAAGAATCTGTTCTCCATTTGATAACTAGAAAATGTTAAAGCAGTGCTTCCCTCATAGCAGGGCCTTGTGAAACAATGACTGAATATTGAATACATGAATTTAAAACCGGCAATGCCTTTTCTCTTTTTGAGACACATAATCAGACTGTGCTTTTCCTCTCTGCAAAGTCATAGCAGGAATTAGGGAAACCGAAGAGAAATTCTACTACATTGTGCAGGAGGAGAAGAACTACAGGGAATCGCTGACCCACTGCCGGATCCGGGGTGGAATGCTGGCCATGCCAAAGGACCAAGCTGCCAACACGCTCATCGCCGACTATGTCGCCAAGAGTGGCTTCTTCCGGGTCTTCATCGGGGTGAATGACCTGGAGAGGGAGGGGCAGTATGTGTTCACGGACAACACCCCCCTGCAGAACTACAGCAACTGGAAGGAGGGGGAGCCCAGCGACCCCTATGGTCACGAGGACTGTGTGGAAATGCTGAGCTCGGGTCGATGGAATGACACAGAGTGCCATCTTACCATGTACTTTGTCTGTGAGTTTGTCAAGAAGAAAAAGTAACTCCCCTCATACTACACATTTGTAATTCCCTGTGACTACCATTGAAGTTCTTTTAATCCATTCCTTTCCTTCCTAGCTACACTAAATTTGATCTGACTCAGGACAAGGGAGAAATGCTACACTGAGGTTTGGAATCTCCATCTGCATGCTCTCCAGGGTCGATTTTGAACATTTTCATGCGTGGCATATTACCGAGCCAATAGCTCACCAAGTTACAGGAGTCCTGAGAGAGAGTCTGAATTACTAATTGTGCAAGAAGTGGTTGTCTATGCTTCAAATAAAATGTTTTCTTGGCATTTGCTCTGCCTCCTCTCCCTAGAGCCCTAAACCACTCTCTATCCAGCTCAGTGGATAACTGGACAGTTGCTTGGTGATGATTAGGATAACCTACCCTTGGCCCAAGTCAGACGTAGGGGACGGCCTTCTGCTAGAAATGTCAAGATATCATCTGTCTTTGAATCCAAGGTCCCCAGTTCTTTGACCAGTCACCCACCATCGCCATAGCAACACTTGCAAAGCCCTCTTGTTCTCACAAACATGAAGACACTTCAACCCCAGCCTCCCCAAAAGGAGCTTCTAGCCCATTGACCTATTCCAGACCGTATGGAATTACATAGACTCCTTTTGCACTTCTAATTGATGATCCTCACTGAAGAACAAGCAGTTACCTTGAGCCCCTTTCTGTAGGCCCACAGCTTAATCTCAGGGCCCCAGATAATTAGCTCTCTGGTTTGTGGAGAAGGGAACTTTAAAAATTAAAATGAAAAAGATAGGGTTTGTTCCCAAACAATATTACTTATAATTCTCCTGCTAAATTGCCCTCTACTATTAATATGGCTCCATTTTTCTTTGTCTTGGGCTTACCCATATCAACTTTCCTCCCATAGGCATGGGGAATGAGGGATGGGGTTTGTGGAACCTTCAGAAAATTCTAGAAGCTTCAAGGTGCTACCAACATCAAGTCTCTAAGCCCCTTTCTTCCTGCCTGTAATATATCACTCGTGGCGACATTTCCTAGGAGGCACTTCACTCTCTGTCCTCTCTATAACTGTATGTTGTAAGAACCCCATACCAGAGATGCCCTTTCCAGAGCTCTGACATCACAGGAATGTGTCAGGCGTGGAGTTTGGAACATGCCTAGGACTCATATTTACCGAGCTGGTGAAATTCTACTTTGAACTGCAGATCAAATCTCTAAGCAGCTTCCATTTGGAATTTAAAAATAAACAGTTCAACAAAACTCTAGATTATCCCGTTTTAAACTGCTGCTCCACTTATAGTCTGTGACATATGATTCGACTGTTTAAAATGCTGGCAAAACGGTTAATGAACTTAGAGAAACAGATCAACAACATATGTTCACCTTAAGCCATCTGCTCATGATTTCACCCATGACTAACTGGTTATGAGATAGGATTTAATTAGGTATTTCTGTGGGTTTAATGAGGGTCACAAACTCAAGTACTACATGGGCCATACAGATGACATAAATAAATGAAGTGGAACAGGTGGGGAGCCTAGTACACTGAAAACAGCTTGCCCATCTAAAGGAAACAGCTGCTCCTCAGTGGCTGCTAATTTTGCCATCCAGGACCCAATGTCACTCCATGTTCTGATATGTCAAGAGAAATCAGAGGGCTGGAACTTTGGCAGTATCTTTATATTTTAAAATGTTGACATCCAATCAATTTTGAACCTAAATTTTAAGTCATACAGAACAGTCTGCTAGCCAAAATCGTGACCTTTCCATTTGTTACCTCGTGGGGAAAGTTCTGGAGGTTCTAACTGTACCGAATGTTATGAAGATGCAATGATATCAAAATCAAGATCTCCCATTAAAACCTCATTCAGTCAGTTCAATACAGGAATTTAGTCATTGTTTGCCATTCACCAAGTTAATAATAGAGTTACTTATTCAGACTTTTGAGACTAGCATATGCTATTTTGTATACAAGGCAGTTTAATTTAAAATTACAAAAAGGACTTGATATCAAAACTAGTATCTTTGGGTAGAATGCCAGCCAAGAGCATGAAGAACAAGAATCTAGAACACTTGGCAGAAAAGAAAAGGATAAGAAAAGAGAAGTGAGAGCATGGACAGTAAGCATTGTCTAAGATCTCTATTGAGATCCATATTCTGATTTGTTCTGAGACCCTAACGTATGAATATTTATTGTGTGGATTAGATGTGTTATTATTATTTCTATTATGATCATTATAGTAATATTTTTCTCCATGACTCATCTTTGCTGCCAATGCTTCCAAGAAAAGATGACAGAGCTTCAAAGAAGAGGATTCATCCTACAACTTTGCCCCAAAGAAATTTTGAAGGCACCATACACTTAATTAGATTTATTATGAACCTTGCTTTGTGCTTTACAAAAGAAATACCTTCACATATCATTTTTTCATGTGCTCCTGATAAACCTTGTAAAGTATGAAGAGCAGATGTTTTTAACACCATTTTCTCAATGGAACACTGAGGTCCAAGGAATGTAAACAATTTACCAAAATCAAGTCATTTGAGAGAAAAGCAGGACTCCAGCCTGCTGATCGAAACTGCCAAGCCAGTATTCTCTCCAACCTCTGTTTATTGCTCTTATATTAAATGGAAGTTTATCCACAATTCCCTCATGATAGCAGAGGCTCAAATAATGTCTTTTGATTACTTTCCAAAGGTAAAGATTATGATCAATTAACAGAGTTACTGAAGATTCAGAACTTGCCTTACAAATATGGTGTTCACTGGTTTTATTTTTTTATCCACAAATGTCTATACATGGCCTTAGTGTTGAAGAGGTGACTTGTACAGTGTCACTACAATTTTGGAGATAACTACAGATAGAGGGAGAGCAAAACAGGTATATGAAAATCAAAATTTGTCCCAAATAAAAATGACCACATGATTATTTCCCCCATAAAAGAATTCACTAGAGAATTCCCTTAAATAATTAGCATTTAAAATCAATTTTAGCCTCAAAATTTTATACTCAGCTTCTCAGAAATATATCTGGACACTTCCCAAGGACAACATGAGGGTAGGGGAAGAAAATTTAATGATTTATTCACAATTTCACAAGAATGCCTTATCAAAACAACGTATTCTATAACCAGGCAAGAGGAAATATCTTATGTCCAGAGCCATTACTCAAAGACTCTGGAAAGGTGTACAGCTTGTGTTGACAGAGATATAACAAGCATTGATTACAATTTGGACAACTTACCCACAAAAATGGCTGGCATCGAAAAAATGTGTTGTGTCCTGCTTAGGCGTATGTTACCCAAATATGAGCTGCTTTGAGTATGAGCCAATTAATTTTCAGCTCTCTGGATTGTGTGCCTTGAGAAAATAAGATATCCGTGGAATAAGAAATATTAACTAATGGTAGCACCCACTGCATCATCAACAGATTAAGACAAAAATGTTTGCAGGTATTATCTCTGGTGAGAGAATCACGGTTGTATGCCATGTAACATTTTAATTGTGACAATTAAAAGAGGTAATATATAATGAGGCCAGGCATGTTATATAGATGCAATAAAAGCAGCCATTACTACCAGCTACATGTTGAAAAGATACAAGCCATATTTTAAGACACCTGAAAAATTACTTAAGTAAGAAATATATGTAAGAATAGAGAGCACAAAAATGAACCCACATCCTATGAAAAAGGAAGCAAAATGATACAATAGGGTAAAGGCAGTCTATTCAATAAATGGTGCTGGGAAAACTGGACAGACACATGCCCAAAATGAAACTAGACCACCTTCTTACACCATAAACAAGAATAAACTCAAAATGAATTAAAGACTTTAATGTAAGGCCCGAAACTGTAAAACTCCTAGAAGAAAACATAAGCAATAAACACCCTGACATTGTTCTTAGTAATATTATTTTCTGATATCTCTCATCAGGCAAGGGAAACAAAAGAGAAAATAAACAAATGGGACTACATCAAACTAGAAAGTTTTTGCACAAAGGAAACCATCAACAAAATGCAAAGAAAACCTACTTAATGGGAGAAGATACTTACCAGCAATACATTCGATAAGGGGCTAATATTCAAAATTTATAAAGAATTCATACAACTCAACACCAAAAAAACAATCCAATTAAAAAATGGGCAGAGAACCTAAATAGACATTTCTCCAAAGAGGACATACAGATGGTCAATAGACATATGAAAAGATGCTCAGCATCACTAATCATCAGAGAAATGCAAATTAAAACCACAATGAGATATCACCTTACTCCTGTCAGAATGGCTACCATCAATAAATCAACAAACAGCAAGTGTTGGAGAGGTTGTGGAGAAAAGGAAACCCTTGTGCACTGCTGGGGGAATTGCAAATTTGTGCAGCCACTGTGGAAAACAGTATGGCATTTCCTCAAAAAATTAAAAATAGAACTACCTTCTGACCTAGCAATTCCACTTCTGGGTATTTATCTGAAGAAATCCAAAATACTAATTTGAAAAGATATATGTGCCCCTATATTTACTGCAGCACCATTCACAATAGCCAAGATATGGAAGCAATCCAATTGCCCTTCAATAGATGACTGGATAAAGAAGATGTGGTATGTATATACAACGGAATATTACTCTGCCTTAAAAAAAGAATGAAATCTTAACATTTGCGACAACATGGATGGACCTAGAGGGTATTACGCTAAGTGGAATAAGTCAAACAGAGAAAGGCAAACATCATATGATCTCACTTATATGTGGAAACTAAAGAACAAAATAAATGAACAAACAAAATAGAGACAGCCATAGATACAGAGAACAAACGGATGGTCACCAGAGGGGAGGGGAGTGTGGGAGCTGAGTGAAAAAGGTGAAGGAATTAAGAATTACTAATTCGTAGTTACAAAATAGTCATGGGGATGTAAAGTACAGAATAGAGGATATAATCAGTAATGTTGCAACAACTATGTATGGTGTCAGGTGAGTACTAGACTAATCAGGAGAATCACTGCATAAGTTATATAAATGTCTAACCACTATGCTGTACACCTGAACTAATATAAAATAATATTGAATGTCAACTGTAACTGAAAACAAATAATTTAAAATATTTATGTATACAGCTTAGATACTATATATAGATACACTTATATATATATGCTATATATGTATG